GGGTGCCTGGGTGGCTCAGTCGGTTGGGCATCCGACTTCGGCCCAGGTCATGATCTCACTCACGGTTTGTGAGTTCGAGCCCCGCATCGGGCTCTGTGCTGATAGCTTGGAGCCTGGAGCCTGCTTCGGAGTCTGTGTCTCCCTCTCTCTCTCTGCCCCTCCCCAGCTCATGCTCGCTCTCTGTCCCTGTTAAAAATAAATAAACTTAAAAAAAAATTTTTTTTAATAAAATAAAATAAAAATAAAAGTGAGTTAGACCCTTAGTCACTGAGCCACCAGCAAGGACTCAGCAGCCTCCCCCTCGGCCCCCTCACCTCTTGAAGATCCATCTGCCTTGTCCCATGAGAGCCTTCTGCAGGCCACCTTCACGGCGGAAAAGAGATCCTATCCCACGTCCACTATCTAGAACATCCCCTCTTCCAAACCCTTTGCCAACGTGAGTAAGAGTGACGATCTTCCTGCAGACACTGAAGGTCTTGTCCACATATGAAGCCAACAGAGAAATGGCTGGGAGACCCTTACTACTATCCAAGGGGTCATTGATGATTACAACAAAAAGGAACTAATAAGGTGTTTAAGAAATTCCCCTGCAATGGTGATGTAATTGAGCACCCAGAATATGGAGAAGTAATTCAGCTGCAGGGTGACCAGTGCAAGAACATACGCCAATTCCTCGTGGAGACTGGCGTGGTGAAGGAGCCCTAGTTGAAGTTACCCACTTGGTTTTCTTTTTATTATCATCATCTCCTTTTTTTTTTTTTTTTTTTTTTTTTAAGTAATCTCTTCCCCCAACTTGAGGCTTGAACTCACGATCCTGAGATCAAGAGCCGCGTGCTCCACTGACTGAGCCAGCCAGGCGCCCCAGTTTCATGGGTTTTAAGTGCTTTTGATTAAGCTTAAGTGAGGATTTCCTTGCAACGAGTAGAATTTCCCTTCTGTCCCTTGCCACAAGTTTAAAAACCCCACAGCTTGTATAATGTAACCATTTGGGGTCTGCTTTTAACTTGTAGTCGTGCAATTCCTTCATGCAATAAAATGAAAAGAGAAAAAGAAGAGTCAATTGGAGCTTGTGTGTTAATGCACGCCACGCATCGTCTTGTGAATAAGGCAAGAAAGGAGGGGACACCCTTCTCTGTGTGTATGTAACAAAACGCCTCCAGGACCACACAGTGAGCTCTGGGGGGCAGCAAGGTGAACATCACGCTGCTGCTGGAAGGCTGGCCATGAGTGACCAGCCACGTGAATGAAATCACGTCGCCATCCGGGAGGAGACGGGTGCTGTGGGGGCTGGGGGCAGGGCAGAGGCGGAGCAAGGAGCTCCAGGGGATTTGGTACCTCTGAGGAACCGGCACTGGAGCAAAGAGGCACAGGATGAGCAAGCCCCTTCCCCTCCGCCTGTGTGCGCACCAGAGGGTGTGGAGTGTCGCTAGGCTGTCCCTGCGGTTACCACGCACGGGACTTCTGTCTCTTCCCTCGCTCACCTTGGTGTGCTTTGACCTGTTCCCAGTCAACATTTTCTTAGACACATAAAACAAACCAAGGTAAAGAGGCAAATGGGCAGGACTGCCCAGACAGCAGGTGTTCCTTAAGCCTGGAATTCCTGCCCCCTGTGCCCCTTGAAGCCCCTTCCTCCCATTTTAGAAATAATCTGCAGTTGCCTTTTCCACCTCCCCACCCCCAAAAGCCTGATGGGCTCAAGTTTCTGTTTCTGGAAACCTGAAGGCAGACTTGGCTTTCAGACATGGGGTGAGGGGCACTCAGGGCTTCCTCTTTGTCTTCAGCCTCTGCAGCTTCTCAACCCGTCCCCCACGCCACCCTCAGGCCACCAAGGGCCTGACCTGCTGGGTGGGAGGAGGGAAGGGTCCTATCCCCTCTCCCCCCAAAAGCAAGGTCCAAGCTGGAGAGGTGAGGTCCAGAGGTTTGGGGTTGCCTTGCTCAAGGTCAGGCCCTGTGATACTGCTGCTCGAGGCTCCAGAAATCCTCAGCCTCTGAGAGGGGTGTTTTAACCTTTCGCGGATAAGCAAAGGCAGATCAGAACATGGGTGACAGAAGAGACAGGTCAGAGGTCCAGCAACCCCTCACTGGTCCTGGAGTGCCTGGCCCTGAGCTAACTTAACCTGGGACCTATCTTGGGGACCACCCCCCACCCCAGGGCTGGCCAAGCCCAGGCTGCACTAGATTGACAGCATGGGTGGTCAACAGCTGTAATGGGGGAAAGGCAGGGGGCCTTCAAGGCCTTTAGACCCAAATGTCAGGGGATGGCTCCCTACCAGGGGCTGCTTGGGAGCCTGTGTGGTCCCAGAACAGAGGAGCAAGGGGTGGGGAGGCCTGGACGGTGCCAGCCTCCACCTCACCAAGAATAACATTGCCCCAGTGACCTGGCTCTTGTCTCTGGACCCTCCATTTCCCCCAGGGCCCAAGGAGCCGGTTTGGCAGCGTCTGGGCAAGAAGCTGGGTGACATCACCCAACGAGTTTATGGTCCAGGTTCCTCAGAAATCACACCTGGTTGCACATTAACCAGCCAGCCCTAGAGGGGGAGGGGAGCTTCAATGGAGTCCCCAGCTTTTCATCCACAAACTCAGCCTGCCCAGTGGGGTGCAGCGCCAGGCATGCAGGGGGGGTAGGCCAAGTGGGAGAGACAGGCAAGGAGCCAGAGGTCATTCTCAGAGCCTGTGCTTAAAAGACAGGATGGGCATTGCTTGCTCCTGGTGCCCCGTCCCTGAGCCCTGAAGAACCCAAAGGGGAAGTTGGTTGCAGTCAGGAGAGGGGTAGGGGCTGCTTTGGGGTCACTGAGCACCATGGGGTAAGAGCCTGGGCTACTCAGAGAAAGGGGGATGTCAGGGCACCTGGTCCAGGTGCAGCCTTCTCCTCCCCCTCCCCTCCC